GACTGCTGAAGAAAGTGAATAGATTCTTTTTTTTTTAAAGATTTTATTTATTTATTTATTTATTTATTTATTTATTTATTTATTTATTTGACAGAGAGATAGAGAGAGAGGACAAGTAGGCAGAGAGGCAGGCAGAGAGAGAGGGAGAAGCAGGCTCTCTGCTGAGCAGGGAGCCCGACCCGGGGCTCGATCCCAGGACCCTGGGATTACCACCTGAACCAAAGACAGCTGCTCAATGGATTGAGCCACTCATGCACCCTGAATAGATTATTTGAGTCTCCTGTGAACCACTGTCTTTATCACTTGTCTCAGCTTGGTTCTTGGTAAGAAGTGGATGCAGACTTTCTTCATTCAGCAAGTATTTCATATTCACTTGCAACATCCCAGACATCCTGATGATCCAGGCATTGGAGATTCAGTGGCCAGCAAGACTGACAGGGTCCTTGCTCTCATGGAGCTTGCACTCTATTGGGGGAGATAGATAATAGAATAAAAAGTAATTTGAGATTGTTATAAATTCTGTAATAGATATAGAATTATACAGAGTTTCATTTTTTTTCTTAAATCGTTACCATGTTTCAAGAAAATTTTCCGTTTTACCTAAGTTGCCATATTTATTGGCATAAAGTTATTCTGAATATCCTTTTACTTTTAAAGATTTTATTTTGGGGCACTTGGATGGCTCAGTCAGTTAAGCAAACATTGTCCAAACATATCTTCCTTTTTTGTTCTCTAGTTTAATTCTGTAGTGGCAAGAGAACACACTCTGCATTATTTCAGTTCTTTGAAATTTGTTGATAAGTACCTTATGGCCCAGGATATGGTGCGCTGTTGTTGGGTGTAGTGTTCCACATAAGTCAGTTAGATTAACTTGGTTAATCTTATTATTCAGATCTTCCATATCCTCATTGATATTTTTTGTCTGCTTGTTTGATCATCACTGAAAAGTGTTTTAAAATCTCCAGCTATAATCTAAATTTGTCTAATTTTTAGTTCTGTCAATTTTTGCTTTTATATGTTTTAAAGCCATATTAATAGGTATGTTTAGGATTATAAATTTTTCTTTGAATTTACCCTTTTATCATTATGAAATGTCCCTCCTATGTCTTGTAATAACTTTTGCTGTAAAATCAGTTTTGTCTGATATTAATATATAATCACAACAGGGCGCCTGGGTGGCTCAGTCGTTAGGCGTCTGCCTTCGGCTCAGGTCATGATCCCGGGGTCCCGGGATCGAGTCCCGCATCGGGCTCCCTGCTCAGCAGGAAGCCTGCTTCTCCCTCTCCCACTCCCCCTGCTTGTGTTCCTGCTCTCGCTATCTCTCTCTGTCAAATAAATAAAATCTTTAAAAAAAAAAAAATATAATCACAACAGACTTCTTTGGGTTAATATTTGAGTGATACATCTTGCATCATTTTATTTTTGGGAATATTTTTGGCCATTATGTCTTCAAATATTTCTTGTGTTCTGTATTCTCTCTCTCTTCTTTCTGGAGTTACAATAATACATATGTTAGACAGTTTAACTATGTCCCATATGTCTCATGCTTTGTTGTGTTTTCTCCCTTTTTTTTTCTCTCTCTCTGCTTCCATTTAGATACTTTGTATTGACCTGTTCATTTCACCACATCTGTCTTTTGTTCTGTGTGGTCTGCTATTAAACCCATACAAAGATTCTTTTTGATTCTTCTTTTTAAGATTCCAACCCCCTAATGAAATTGTTTATCTTTTTATCCCTTTTGTCCATCTTTTTCTTGATTTTTATCATATTTGTAATAATTAGTTTAAACTCCCTTGTTTATAAACTCCAACATCTGAATTATCTCTGAGTCAGCTGCTCTTGTCTATTTTTGCTCTTTTGTTTATTGGTCACATTTGGCTTTTTGCATGTCTCATAGTTATTGTATTCCATACATTTTGTATTTAAGAATTTTCAAGACTGAAGATGGTTTATTTTCTCTCTCAGAAAGTTCTCATTTTCCTTTGTTAGCCGGATAGGATAAGAAGCTGATTACTTCAAAAAATGCAATTGAGTTGGGGTGCCTGGGTAGGCCAGTTAGTTGAGCATCTGAGTCTTGGTTTTGGCTCAGGTCGTGATCTCAGGGTCCTTAGATTGAGCCCACATGGGGTTCCACACTCAGCGCGGAGTCTGTTTAAGATTCTTTCTCTCTTGGGGTGCCTGGGTGGCTCAGATGGTTAAGCGTCTGCCTTCGACTCAGGTCATGATCTCTGGGTCCTGGGCTGGAGCCCCACATCCAGCTCCCATCTGGCTCAGCAGGGAGTCTGCTTCTCCCTCTCCCTCTGCCTCTCCCCCTGCTTGTGTGCTCTCTCTGTCCCTCTCTCTCTCTCAAATGAATAAATAAAATCTTTAAAAAAAAAAAAAAAAGATTCTTTCTCCCTTACCCTCTGCCCCTCTCCCCCCCTCAAATAAATAAATAAATCTTTATAGCAAAATGCTATTGAGTTGAGTTGGTCTGGGTTTCAGTTTTAGCTGACCCAGTCTATCTTGATTTTGTCTCAGCTTTTGATTAAGAGCCAAGCAGGTCTCTATCTACTTATCCCTAAGTACTGTGGGCAATTTCATATCTGCTCTTTGAAGTTTTGAGTTTAACTCTTTGTTCTTTCACATCATACAGCTCTAAAATTTGGTAATTTTTTTTAAGGAGGAGATTGTCATATATTTGTTGCAGGCTCTGCTTGCTAAGTCCTGCCAGACTTGAGGAGATTTCACTTTGCCATCCCAGCCCTAACTTATCTCCCAGCCTCCTATACAACCCACTATTCAACAAATGTCCTGTGGCGAAAACTGGCTACATGTTTGAGGCTCCTCCAGGTTTCATTCCATCATGCCAACCCATGCAACTATCAGGAAATCCACTAGTTTCTCTTTTCCCCGGTAGAGTTTCAGAGAGGAAGTTTCTCTGCCTATGCCAAGCCCAACCCTCATCTTGTGGTCAGAATGAGCAAATGCCCCTATAGAAGACAAAGCAATTCAGCTCATCTTGGAAGGGCACTTCCCTCTCTGAAGCTTTATTTCAATGATGTTTTTAATTGTTGCTTCCGTAGATCTCCAGTGTCTATAAAAATATGTTTTCGATTATGTATCCTTTTTCCGCATAGTTGTTATAGCAGAAGTGATGGCTTCTAAATAGACTACTACATCTACTTCGAAGCTAAAGTTTTCCCCTCAGCATTGAATATTCTTCTAGAACTTAAATGGGTATATAGCTTTCAAACATTTGGAATACATTTTATTCCCTATCACATTTTATAATGTTGGAAATTTAGAGTACTTTTTTCAACTTATAACAAATATCCTTGTAACAATTTTTGATTACATATTTGAGCTTTTCCTTAGTATAATTCATAGATGTGTAATTGTGTCAACAGATATGCATAATTTTTTTAAATTTTATAATTTTGACATATATTGGCAAATTTCAACCAAGAAATACTGTACTAATTTATGCTGACAGTGTGTAAGAATTCTTAATTCCTATGAGTGGTATATTAATAATATATGACAGGATTTTATTTCTCTTGTAACATACCTACATGTTATCTTAATCGCCAGGAGAATCCAGAAGATGTTAAGACTTTCTCCTCAATACTGAAGTCATTGTCATGGAGTGCTATGAATACTAGAAAAATATAAATTATTAATTTTATTGGCATTCATATTTTGGTTAAAAACATAAAAATATATATTGTTTATGGGAACATAAAAATAGATGTAAGCCAAACTTTTCATTTTGGTTGGTTTTGGCACATAGGAAGTCCTTAGTCAATTTTTATTGATTAATTTGGGCATGTCTTGCTTTTTGCATTTTTCCTTTAATATCTTTAAGAGAAATTCCATGTTCTTTGGTTTCAGGAGAAATGAAAGAATTTATTTGTTGAAAATATTGCATATCTTGATATGAATTGGTAGAAAAGAAAGTATACAACTTCTTTCTTCTTCTATACTCTTTTTAGTGGGACCTTCTACTTGCGTCTGAACAAACACAAAAACCTTTGAGACTTACATGAGTCTAAGATTTAAAAATCATGTCTTTCCTTTATATGACTAGTTTTAAATATCAGCAGTCTGGGAGCATGTTTTTTCCATCTTAGAATTGGGAAACACCTATACTTCTGGAGAGGTAAAAATGCTTTTTGATCATCAACAGTGATGCACTTGGAAATTTTCTATTCTTCCTCCATCTCCATAATTATTTGAGCCAACTAGTTAAGATTAATACTTACTTGATTTTTGTTTCCATTCAGAGATACTTGTTCTATTTAAAAAATAAGACCGGGGGTGCCTGGGTGGCTCAGTGGGTTAAGCGTCTGACTCTTGGTTTTGACTCATGTCATGATCTCATGGGTAGTGGGATCAAGCGCTGCATCAGGCTCTGTGCTCAGCACAGAGTCTGCTTGAGATTCTCTCCCTCTGCCCCTCTCCCCACTCACACATGCGCACATGCTCTCTCTCTCTCAAATAAATGAATAAATCTTTAAAAAAAAAATTTGACTATCGTGCATTAGAAGTGACTAGTGTGCATAAATAAAAATTAAGACCCTTAAAAAGGGCACATGATATCCTTAATATCCAGAAAAATGTACTTTTTCTTTCCTTTTGAAGTTTAACTTATCATTTTAAGTTATGGAAAATTTCAAGCATGTATAAAAGCCAAGAGTATACTGTAATGCACACTGGTATGCCTGCCACCACTTTTGCTCTTCCTATCTTTTATTTTAACAGTTAATGATTTAAGTGGGAATGCCTTTATCTCGGAATTGTAATGTATTTTTTTCTATATAACCTTTTTTTTTTTTTTTTGTATCATCAAATGGTCATTCATTCAGTATGTAGTCCTTAAATTTTCCTTAATTTGACTTTTTAAAATAAAGACTTCATTTTTAATGTTTGTCTCAAGCAATTTCTAATGGTCACCAGGGTGTTTATTTTTTTTCTTCGTGATCCCAAATGTAATAATACTGAATATTGTTGCCTGTTAAATGACGTATGTGAGGAAATCCTTGGACAGAATCTAAGAAGTATTACCTTGAAAATACAGTGGATGTGCAAACACTGAAGTTTTTTCAAATGTCCAAGTGTTTTTCAAAGGTTGATATTTAGTTTCATGCATATTCAGAAAAGGGTTCTTATTCTCTTTGAGCCAAAATTAGTATGCACAGGCACAGTCTCTGTTTTTCTTAATTTCTTAGTGCAATTGGCATTCTTTATTTCATTTCCGCATCACACTTATGAAACTCATTGTCTCAGTGTGTTACCTAGATGGTACCCTCATTGCTTTGCGTATTTTTAAGGCTTTTTAAAAACCACTTTTAAAAATAGGTACAGAGTTCTTATTTTTTAATTACCACTGCTTACACATGTGTGTACACACACGCACGCACACACACACACACACTCTGTCACATTTCTGGTAGATTGTTGAAAAGAGGATTTTTTTAGAAGACAGAGGCTACTATGATACAGGTAAACTAAGCAGGGGAGTGCAGTGGGGCCGAGGGCAAGGAGAGGCAGTTACTTAAGCATTAAATTCTAATAGCACAGCACACTACATTCTGGGGTGAAGGCCAGTGGAATATTTTTGCTTGCTCAGGCTTTGGAGTTATGCAAACAGAAGCTATTGCACACCCAGAGTTTCATGATTGGGGAAGTAAACTTGTACATTTGTTTTTTTTTAATAGGTTCAAAAAGGCATTTGAATCTGAGCCATCACTACAGTCAGGAATTAATTACGCGGTCCTTCTCCTGGCGGCTGGGCATCAGTTTGAATCTTCCTTTGAGCTCCGGAAAGTTGGTAATTACAGCTTGATATTTTACGTGGAAATCAAGAAACTGGACCCAACTTGGTACAAAGAAAAAGAATCATCGACAGATAGACCCTTTGCTTTTTGTTACTATTTCTATAGATTTTCTATTACTGTATCTCCTTGTTTAGTGTTTCATACTAGTGTTCAGAATCCTGATATTGGGATGTCATTTGGTTTTTAGTGTATTTTGCCTGTTTCTAAAAACATCCTGGTTAATATTTATTGTTACAGCACAAATTAATATTGAAAATAGGGCTCTGCATTCAGCCCCAACTCCCAAATAAGGTAGTGTTTGGAACATCAGGAACATTTCCTATTTTAGATTTAGAGGAGGAGGTGGAAAGAAGAAGGAGAAGAAGAAGAAGAAGAAGAAGTAGGAGAAGACGGAGAAAAGACCTCTGATATTTTCTATTTCTGATTCTCTTACACACCTTCAAGCACTGTGATTTCAGTGGTATTGGAGGTGAAGCCTCCCAAAGCCCCCCAAGAACAGCAGATCAAGCAGATGGCAGTCTTGGCAGTGACTAGTCTCCTTAGAGACCATCTCTGAATTGTAGCCATTGATAGAATGTGCTTTTGTCCCTTTTATCTGTGGACATTGTCTCATCTGCTCACCCTTCTTTGGAATGTGAAGATTTACCGCATCTTAGTGAATAAATTTTGTGTGATTTTTTTTTTTTTGCTTCTGGCTTTAATAATATTTTTTAAAGTTTTGCATACTGGAAAACTGTCTATGGTAGTGAGATTTTGCTCTCTCTCAGTTTCTAACCATTCTCTTTCAGGGAATCTTTCCAACTCTTGTAGAAGTCATTACTACAGACCTAGAAATATTATGCCATATTTTTCATAGAGGAAAAAAAATTGATCTTAGTGAATCTATAAATTGTAGAAGAACCTTTTCCTTTAAGATTTTTAACTGGAGACTGTTTCTGTTTAATTTTCCTTGAAGAAAAATGAGTCCTAGACTTTTTTTTTTTTACATCATTTGGGAAGGGGTTATAAAATAGCCATGTGTAATGTTCTGGGAAATCCTTGACAGCAGAGTTTGAGTATTAAATAATTTTTGAAGGGCGTCTGGGTGGCTCAGTCGTTAAGCATCTGCCTTCAGTTCAGGTCATGATCTCAGGGTCCTGGGATTGAGCCCCACACCGGGCTCCTGGCTCAGTGGGGAGCCTGCTTCTCCCTCTCCCTCTGCCTCTCCCCCTGCTCATGCTCTCTCTCTCTCTCTGTATCTCTGTGTCTCAAATGACTAAAAATAAATCTAAATAATTTGTGAAAGGGCCCAGACTAAAAGAATGATAAAATACTTGTTGCTGCTGGATTGCACTGGTATTCAATGCACAAAGCTTTATTTGAAATGATTTTTTTCAGTTGGTAAATGAAATCAGAGAAAAATGGCAATTTGTACTCAGGAATTGTGATTATAAAAAAATTTTGTATCTAAGGTTGATTTTCAAACTCTACACTAGCCAAAACTCTTTAAGTACTAGTGATCTAAAAATAATTTGTACTGCTATGTTCTTGAACTTAAGGTGAAGTTTTATTAAGGCCTCCAGATCATTACAGGAATTGACACTGATCTGCATGTGTTGATAGAGCATTAGCACAGTGGCTTGAAAATGTACCTACTCTAAATTCTCACTTTTAAGTTAAATATAGGTTAAAATGATCAGCACTCTGCTAAGAGAGTAGATCTCATTGCAAAAAAGAAATGATAATTATGTGATGTGATGGAAGTATTAGCTAACACCTGGTGGTAACCATTTTGCAATATGTAAGTGGATCAAAGAAACACGTTTTACACCTTAAACTTACACAATATGTCAGATTATATTATAATAAAGCTGAGGGAAAAGAAGAATGGTCAGCACTCTGAGGTTTGAGGAACTGATTAATATAACTTTGTAAAGAAAACATAACTTAATTTTTTTTTCCAAGAAGAACTCATTCATAATATATGTTAAGCAAGCAATTGGAAACATATGAAGTTGAATTTTAAATATTGGAAAGTGCAAAACATAAACAGACTTTTTAAATTTTTTATTTTTTTGACAGAGAGACAGCGAGAGAGGGAACACAAGCAGGGGGAGTGGGAGAGGGAGAAGCGGGCTTCCCGCGGAACAGGGAGCCCGATGAGGGGCTCGATCCCAAGACCCCGGGATAATGACCCTAGCCGAAGGCAGACGCTTAACGACTGAGCAACCCAGGCACCCCTAAAACATACACAGACTTAAAATGTGACTTGACAATGAATTTTTAATTCAAATTTTAGGTTTCTAAAATACCGTGACATACACTCCAAATTGTATGTCCTTTATAATTAAAATGCAATTAAAACTCACTACTTTAGATTCTACTCAATAATAAATTATACTTATCATCATAGGCTGACCTAAAGTTAATTTTTTTATGGTAAAATAGAATTAAAAGGATTTTCGAGGAAAAACAGATTAAGTAAATTGTCTAATATAATATTAATAGTATGTAATAAAAATAAGATTAATAAATAACACATTTTGCATATTTTAAAGATATACTTTTAAAAAGCATTTTTAAAATGCTCTAATCAAATTTCTCAGTAATTTATATCTTCTTCTATTCATTCTCTTGGTCCCCTGCAAATGTACAAATTAGCCTGAATTACTGAGCTCCCTTAAGTAATCAGAGTTTTTTTTTTTTTAAATAAAATCCCTTCTTCAGGTGCATTTGAAATTTTGATTTATTTATAAAAGGTAAGCAATTAAAAATTAAGATACCAAAACATAACCATAAACATATCATCTTAAGTTTAAGATCTCTAAGGTAAGACCCGATTCTTAATTCTCCTCACCTACTGTCCAAAGGCTCTCAATTCTAGTTGTGTGTGTCTGAGGTTAAGACTAACTGTTTCATGATCTGTGTTTCACTTTCCCAGTTTTTGAATAAGCATTGATATTTAGACTATTTAGAACTAGGATTTGAAAACACAGAACCACATCTTACATGTTCTTCCTATTTTCAGCTTCGCAAGACTTAAAATTAATATTCAGATGTTAGCCAAATAAAAGATGATTTTCCCATCTTCTGCGGACTTTTTCAACTATGAGACATTTTATGGGAGAGAGTCAGAATTATAGGTTTGGGTCCCCAACAATAATGATGATGTAATAAAAGAACATTATGCTTGAAATTAAGACAAACCACTATTTGAATCTCATTTTCAGGGAGCAATAAAAATGAAATCTGTATTACTGAATATGAAAGTCCATGATTCTCTAAAGATAATTCTAAAAAGGAAATCAAAACAAAAACAAAATCCATCACCAACCACAGAACAGCTCATTTGTTCTGTATGGAGGTGACCAATTTCTCAGATACTTGGAAATTATAGGGAAGAAATTAGGTACCTTCCCTTCTTTTTTAAGAGATATTATAGCTCATCTAGTTGATGAGATAGAAGCTCTTCTTAATGTATTATTCCGAAAGAAAATGTACTCTTCAAAAGAATCCTAGTTAACGAAGTAGAGAGAATGGTAAGAATGACAATGATAGTGATGTTGAAATAATGATTTTGGCAAGGATCATCAATTAAAAGTTAAATCATTAAATGAAAATGTTTATTTTTTTAAATTTCATTCAACCATATTTACCTGATACCAAAGCTCCCTCACAGATTGATTGTTAGTCACAAAGGACAAATATGCCTATACAGTCCATTCTATGTATGCCCTCCAGCGATCTGGCTCTCAGTGATCCAACCAGCAACCCTAATAGTGAGTTGGCCCAATGGTGCCTCTTCATGCGATGAGCATGGAGCAAGCAGCATCTCCTGTAAAACAGTCTCGCCAAAAATGTTTAGCCCAAATTTTAAGATCTTATATCCAGCTAATAGGAATCACAGTGACTATAAAAATAAGTCAAACAACATGAACACGTGACACATTCATGCCAAGGTCAAAGCTAAATGTCACCCTCATAATATGAACATCTGGCATACAAGAATAAACCTGAAATTTTATTTTAAAACTGTTATTGTAATTTTACAATTACACATTTTCATAGTCCCTGTTTAAATGTTTGACATGATTTGCTGCTAGATCAATCCTTGGTTCATTGTTCTGCAAGCATGACACAATAAAAAGAGCTCCTTTTCAAATGAAGTTAGTAGAAACACCCATTTTTAGTATCTCATTTTCCCTCTGCACTTTCTTCTTTCCTTTGTATTCGTTGAATTTGTTATTATACTCAGATAGGAGATCATGGACGTTGTTGCATACCTGGGTGTAATTTTTTTCATCTTATGAAATTATCAGGGAGCAAAGCCATTCTCTTTCTAACTTATGACAAAATGTGAAGGGCTCCCAAATGGGGACTTTTTCTTGAAATACTCAGGGCTGAAGTGTTATGTCATAAAAAGTAGCATAAAGTTTTTAAAGATTATTTTGTTTTATTGAAGTATAATTTTCCCCCAAAATTCATAATTCTCAGGAAATATAAAATAGAATACTTGGAAAAGATTTTTAGGGGCACCTGGGTGGCTCAGTCGGTTGAGTGTCTGACTCTTGATTTCGGCTCAGGTAGTGATCTCAGGATTGTGAGATCGAGCCCCGTGTTGAGCTCCACACTTAGCTGGGAGTCTGCTTGGGATTCTCTCTCTCTCTCTAAAAAATAAATAACATAAATCTTTTTAAAAAAATTTTCCTTAACTCCATTAATATGGAAAACAATAAGAGGATATGTCTAGTTCAAAGTGCATTTTAGAAGCTAGGGTATACATAGATAATTTAACAAAGAAATGTTAGGATGACAATTCTGAGTTTGATTGAAAAAAAAAAAAACTAGTTCAGTCCCAATAGGTCATAAATCTTAGGGATTATCTGTTTTACTAGACAGAAATTATTTGCATCTCTACTACAAAAACATGCAAGTTAACAAGTAAACTTCTCTAAGTCTGAGATCTTTAATGAATAGTAAACAGTGAGATGAACTTGCTACACTTTCCCTAGACTGTCCTCAAGTGTGGCCTGATGCCCTTGTGAGATACTGAGATGACATGTCCCACCTTTTTACCTTGTTCTCAAATCTCAGATAATTTTCCTGATACTTTACTGTTGTGAATGCTAGTGGCACTTAACAATTCTACAAGGATATATTCTCTTTAAGCAAACAAAGGATTACAAATGCAAAAATAACACCAGGCAGAGTAGAGACAAAAATTTATAATGAAATGAAAAACACCAGGAAGAATCAAAACAATGTGAGAAGAAGAAGTTGGAGGATTTAAATTACCTGACTTTCAAGTCTTGTTACAAAGCAACAGTAATCTAGACAGTGCTGTCTGTCAGTTCCCTTATTTCTTTAACTTTATAAGTATATAATTGTTTTTGCATATAAAATTATCATTAATTATTGTAGCATTTTACTCTTGCAGAATATATATACTGTATACTTTTATACTGCAACTGATAGTGTAGCATATTTCCCTTTCAAGTAACTAAAGAACCATGATATTATAAGGGAAGCAAGGTGGTTACATAACAAAATATTATCACCTTTCGATTTATGCACATGCAGTGCAAGCATACATTAAAATTCTGGAATGATATACATCAAAGTGACAGTGGCAGTTATCTTTGGATCTTCAAATTAAAGGGACTTTTTTTTTCCCACAATGAATGTGAGCCCCTTTTATAATTGAAACTTAAAGCTATTGGAATCTGAAAGGAGGAATGAAAACTCAATTTTGTTTTTAATAAAAAGTCTGCTCTGCCTGGGTGCTGTGTGTTTGTAACACTGTACTTCCTGATGATCTTCTAGGAGTGAAGCTGAGTAGCCTCCTTGGTAAAAAGGGAAACTTAGAAAAACTCCAGAGCTACTGGGAAGTTGGATTTTTTCTGGGCGCCAGTGTCCTGGCCAATGACCACATGAGAGTCATCCAAGCATCTGAAAAGCTTTTTAAACTGAAGACACCGGCATGGTAATAGTAAAGTCTTTTGTGTTTGAACAAGTACTTTTAATAAACAACTCTTATCACTTATTTCCAAATTGTTATATTTGTTGAACTGACGATTCGATGATTTTATTTGCTTATAGAATAAAATGCAGAATTTAGAGAAAAAACTGATATTCATAAATAAAATGTGTTGAATATAGGTTTTGATGACTTTGGAGGCAAGGTGATGTCTGCTTGCCTTTGGCTTAGCCTTTTCATGACGCTGAGCAACCCGCTAGCCCAAGTTGGCCAGTGGTACCCACAGGAAGCCAGATCTGACACCTGCACATCGAATTGGTAGATTCACAGATTTCCATGTCAGCCTCCCATGTTTCTGCCCCAAACATACACCCTTTGTTCTCTTTATGATCCAGTCTCAGTTTGGGGATTCTCGTGCTTGATTTTCACTTCTTTATGCTTATGGCTTATTCATACCTTTGAATGTTTCTTGTATGTGTGCATTTTTCTAATTTCAAATTGTTCTTGGAGTCCCCCCAAGTCTCATCTTTATGCATGTGGTAATTGAAGAGATGAAAGCATTTAGGACTATTTTGGAAAACAATGCTGATTTTATTATGCATCACAGGTAATGATTACTAGCTATAAAGGCTTTAAAAGATTTACCATGATACCAAGAAAGGCTCAGATTGGCTCAGAGCCTGGGCCACTGACTTGTTTTCATCAGAGGAACCACTTGAGGAGATGCTTCCCACGGTAAATCCCCATGGCTCCCCAAAGGCTTTCATCACATTCAGGTCTTCTCATTACCAAACCCTCCCCAGTGTCACACCCATAGTGATCTTTCTAAAATTTCTAAAATTCATGGCCGACCCTTCCCCGCCACCGAAATCCTTACATCGGTGGAGTTTAATGGCTCTTCACAGCATAGGGGATAAAGTCCACCTGCTTGGCTTGGTGAACAATGTTTGTCTTTAGGCACTCCAGCCTCGGATCATGTCACACACCCCCAGTTCCGTGGCTCTCTAGTCACACGGAACGGGCCAGCAACGCTCGTGTCTCGGCACACGCTGCCCAGGCCTCTTCTGGCACGCTTCTCCACCTGGGGACACTCTTAAATCACGTCTGCCCACAAACCAAACCCTGACCTAAAACCCTTCCCTGCATCCAGATAGACGCGCGTGTGTGATTAGTTCATCTCATGAAACCTGCTTTCGTGTTTCTGTCATTTTTAAATCATATTCCTACTCAGAGTGACTGACTTTCGTTAGTCATACCTCTGCGTAGTTGTAGCCCCATTGAAACGTAGGTCGCTGTGATTTGTAGCTTTTACATTTCTGTCTTATCAGCACTGTGTGCTACATAGGGACAAAGCTGTGCTCTCAGTGGGATGTCTACGGTAGGTGTTCGGCAAGGAATGAAATAAATGAACCAATCAATGCACGTGTTACAGGCAGCCTAATATGTCATTTCTTTACAATGATCATTGTGACGGGACAGAAGGGGACTGAAGCACAGGTCCAAAGAGTTCTGGTTTGGGGTGTCCCAGCTTCTGTTGACAACAGAGAAAAACATTATTTTATGCAATAGTAATGACAACTGCAAAACCATGCCTTAAGTTTCCATTCACTTACTGTTAATTTCCATGTTTATAGTTCACAAGTGCTTGCCTACCCATTATCTCGTATAATTATCTTGCTTCTCATTTTTTCCTAGCTTTTTCCTTTGAGGCACCATCTGTCTTCTTAGGTTGGAGGATATTTGTATAATATATAAGCTAAGTTGCTTCGAAGCAAAATAATAATCTCTTATGAAGGGTCTATTTAGAAAAGCTTTCTCAAGGAAGCATATTTTAAAACAAGTGCATTAACCACTCCCTTGAAGAGGATAGGCATTATTTTAAAAGGCATGTTGGCAGAAGATGTATCATCCAGTTTGAGCAATTTAAGCTCTCTATGCCTCAGTTGACTCATCTTTAAAATGGGGATAAAACAGCCTAATTTATTGGGGTGCCTGGGTGGCGCAGTCAGTTAAGCAGCCGACTCTTGGTTTCAGCTCAAGTTGTGATCTCAGGGTCCTGAGATCGAGCCCGACATCCAGCTCTGCACTCAGCGTGCAGTCTACATGAGGTTCCGTCTCCCTCTCCCTCTGCCCCTCCCACTCATGCTCTCTCTCTCTCTCCCTCTCCCTCTCTCTCTCTCAAATAAATAAATCTTTTTTTAAAAAGCCCACTTTATTGAATTTCTGTAAGATTTGAATGAGATAATGTGTACATGACATGTAACAAATAATGAATAATGTTTGGTGAATCTGAATACATAAATATTAATGTGATATTTAAACTTGCCCGTTATGTGTTTTCTGTCTTTTCATTTTTAGGTACCTCAAGTCAATTGTAGAGACAATTTTGATATATAAGCATTTTGTGAAACTGACTACCGAGCAGCCTGTGGCCAAACAGGAGCTCGTGGACTTCTGGATGGATTTCCTGGTTGAGGCCACAAAGACCGATGTTACCGTAGTTAGGTTTCCAGTGAGTACTCTTAATTTAGCTTAACTTTAGGTGCATTTCTAGTTTGTTTCTTTTATTTAAAGAACATTTTTGCACCATGATTCTAACAGGACTAGTGTTACTTTTTTAAAATAGCTTCTCAAAATCAGGGAAGTGAGATACATTTTTATGTTTTTGCCGTGGCATTTGGTGATTTCTTTCAATAAGTTGTAAAGTGTGCTTTCCAAGAAAAGATTGTCTCTTGCTTAGCCTCAGTTAGTCAACACATCGCTTAAAAACAGACATAAGGTTGCTGTTAATTCCTACTACAGTTTGGCTAACATTGACATCAATGTTGGCACCATTATTGTGGTGAAAAGTGGTGTTATGCACCTGGATTGTTATTCGATCTCCACTGCTCATTACCCATATGGGTCAGAGTTAGATGGAGTGTCCCCAGTTCCCAGTCACTTTTTACCGTGTCTTAGATCATGAGAAATGATGACTCACAGGTTCCGGTTTGCAGCTCATGTTGGCTAGATATAGATATAGATATATGTATAGTATACACACACACTTTTAAAAATAAATTGCTCATCTTCTCAGCTGGTGCCTTTCCCACCCTGATCGTTTTCAGAATACCGCCCAAAGCAGTATATGCTTTAGCATCCAATTCAAGAACCACTGAGAAGTCACTGTGTGCGCTCCTCTCTTCCCACGTCCAAGTGATGCCATAAATCTCCCTGTGTGAGCTCTCTAGTCCAATCCTCCATACTCAGGTGGTGGCAACTCTCAATTCTTTTTATAAGATCTTGTTCCCTAATTCCTGTTTATAGGATCATCTGTTTCATTTAATTAAATCCATTGCTGGCATTAACAGGCTTTCTTTACTCTTCCTTCCCCATGAAGCCTTCAGCTCAGCAGGATCTTCGGCTGAGAAGCCTTACAAACTAAAAACACTTCGTTTTCTAGCCTAGATAATGTGTAGCCTAGGAAAATGCTTGTCTCAGAGTGAGCTGGCAGCGTGCCCGCAGCTGGGTCTCTGATGGTAGCAAATCCTGTGAGAGAAGACAGCACAGAACTGTCTGTATTGAGTTGACTGTTGACTTGATCGAGTAGAAAATTGGCGATGAAAGGAAACCACTCCTCCTAGCTATTCTGAGCTAATTTGAATTAGGCTAATATGAATTTGTCTGTCATACTGTGAATGTCAAAAAATAAAACCAGCAGATATTAAGAGAGAAGTTAGGAGAATATAGGTACATAGTCCAGGTGTGAGAGGCTTTCTTAAGCAAGAAAGGGACCTGTAAGCCCTAAAGGTAAATATTGACCAATTTGATTCATTAAAAATCCTAACTTTTGTTCAATAAAGAAAATCATAAACATGGCAAATGCTAGACAGGGAGAAAATATGTAGTACTAATGCAGCAAAGTTATCAATTTGCCTAATAGGCAAAGAGAAAAAAAAACCCATTATTGATAAGCAAAAGAAAAAGAAAATGGGCAAATCATATGAAAAGATAGTTAACCTCACTGGGTAGTCAAAAAAATGCAAATTAAAATGAGACACTATTGTACCTATGCCCATTTAGCACATGTGCGCTTACATCGGTAGGATCAGCTCCCGGAAGTAGAATTGATTGATATTGCCATGTTGCCTCCATAGGGATTGTATCAATTGACATCCTCGCTGGCAACATACGAGATTGACTGCTAGCCTAAAGTCTCTCCCAAAAAGTATGTTTATCATATTTGTACTTTTGCTAAACTTACAGATGAAAGAATGGTACATTGGGATCGTTTTAATCAGTATTTCTCTTATTATGTGTGGGGTGGTGCATATGATTAAGCTTGTGTTTAAAAGACTACTTGGTGATTTATTTATTTATTTATTTATTTTAAGATTTTATTTATTTATTTGAGAGAGAGAGAATGAGAGACAGAGAGCATGAGAGGGAGGAGGGTCAGAGGGAGAAGCA